CAAGTATAGATGGTGGTGGCGATGGAGCTTCAAAATCGAAATCGCTCTGAAATCACTAAATCTCTGAGTCTCTACAAATAAGGATCAAGTAAGAATGTCTTCAAACATTGATTTCATAGATCTCTCTATTGATTTCATAGATCTAGAGAGAGAGAGAGAGAGACGGTGGAGCTCGCTACCTTGAAATTTGGAAAAATGAAGCTTAGTAGATCTAAATTGAGAGTGAGAGAGAGAGAGCAGATGGTGGTGGCGATGGAGCTTTGAAATCGCTCTGAAGCTTCGAAATCACAGATGCAGATGGAGCTTCGATGGAGCTTCGAGAGGGTTAAGAGAGAGAGAAAGAGAGAGAGATGTGCGTATAAGGGTTGAGAGAGAAAGAGTTGTAACATTCAGAGTTTCTCTTGCATAGAATCAAAATAAGGGTTTCAAAAAGAGCACGGTGGAAGCGCGTGTACCCACCGCATTTGGAGGCATTTTTAAACACCTTCAATTATAAAACGATGCCGTTTTGATTAAAAAAATATGTGACGGTTATAAAACGCCGTTAAAAAAATGCCATTAAATCTCATTTTTCTTGTAGTGAATCCAGACAGATAACCATTAAGGTTTAACAAATAGATCCATGATTGGAACCCATAAAGATCTTTGATAACAGATAACAGATGCTAAGCATGCCACGAATACATTTAAAAAAATGGACAATCATTCTTTTATTCAGAAAATATCATTTCAGAAACAAAGTATAACTTATAAATCAGAAAATACTTATAAATCAAACATATCTTTATAGAGTTGTTACTCACAGATGGCTCCTCAGACAGATTAGACAGATAGTTGCGCGTGACCTATATAAACACATAACAGATTCACATTGAAACACACATTTCCAAACGATATTCACTTAATCCAATCCTTTTTAATGTGTTTCTAATTCATTTTCTCATTATTGTTGTCTAAACAATGGCTTAAGAATGCCTATAATAGAATGAGAATGAAATTATGCTATTAAGAATGTATTTCAAAAATGTTGAAAACAGAGCAGTTTGCTCGAGCGCAACTTTGGTCACTCGAGTAGTCTGCAAACTTATGCAAAACTTTTGGATGCTAAAAATCTAGGTTCGAGCCAATTTTCTGATTGCTCGAGCCATGAGCTGTACAAAAGTGAGTTCGCTCGAGCGCACACTTGGTCACTCGAGCCAACTACATGCAACTGCAAAAATACTGAGAGCCTTGAAAGTGTGCTTGGGACATGCGACTAGATTCTGGAAATTCCAGAATTGTGTTTGAACTTCAAAACCCAAGTTTAAATGCCAAAATCTTTGCATGTCATTTTCTAAAGCATATAAACACTTCCAAAAATATGATTTCAAAATACACTTCAAATTGTATGCTCAAAATTTCAAGAATTTACCATTCATAGTCCAAATTCTTTTCAAAGCTTCAAAAGTATGCAATTCTACTTCCAACCTTGGTAATTCATGCATGTATGTGAAATTCACCTCCAAAATCCCATGAATTATGCATGTATGTTCAAGAAAACTCTAAATTCAAACTTAAACTACATGAATTATGCTCAAATTGAGAAACCATGGTGAATTCATGCTTGCATGTATGATTTAATCCACAAATCTTGTACTAATCCACCTAGTTCTCTTGAACTCACATACTAATCATCTCAAATTCATAGATTAAGGGTTGAATTCTTACCTAAAGCTTTGATTTTGGAAGTGTAGAGGCTTAATCTCTCAAATCCTCTTAAATTCTCCATTTTCCCTTCTTAATTCTAACTCTTCTTTCCCTCTAAGCTTGACTCCAATCTCTCTCTCTCTCTCTCTCTATCTCTCTCTCTCTCCACACGTTTTTGCTCAAAGATGAAGTGTAATGATGTGTTCTTAAGTTCATAAGTGCCTTATATAGGCTAGATTAGCTTAAGTTAATTAATCTTGCTTAATTCGAATTAATTTCATTTTAATTTTTTGAATCCGAATCAAATTTGAAAAATCTAGAAACCTCCTAGATGTTGATTTGTGATTATGTATCAATTTAAAGCAGAATATAACAATCCCAATCAAACAATCAAGACAAAGAGACACAATGATTTTACGTGGAAAAACCACAATTGGACACCTCCAATTGTGATAAAAAAAAACCACGGGCAACAGCCACAAGAACAATCCACTAAGAAGATTTAAAGGAATTACACAGGTATACTCTCAATTACCTAGCGAATCCACGCTTAATTGAACCAACCTCTATGTGCCTCTTCTAACCCGTCTTCACCTCGGAATTGTCTTTACGATGAGCCATCCCGGAATCCACCAAAGCTTCAGGCTCGAATTCTTCAGAATCCACTGAAGAACCACTCTCTCTTTTGTAGAACAAAACACAACCTTTGATGTACTCTCTTTAAACCATGAGTTGAATACTCAATAAAACATCAAAGAAAACTCACAAAATTTCCCCAGATATAAACCTTTGAATCCAAAAAGAAGATCTGGAGATAGTACAATAAATTATACTAGTTTTGGGAGAAAACCAAGTATTTATAGAGAACCAAAAAGTAATCCTAGATTGGGAAGAAAACCAACTCCTAAACAAATCTGAAAATCTGGGTTTGCGATCTCCGCTCGAGCGCCCAACAGCCCGCTCGAGCGTCTTCAGTAAAATCTGTGATTTCATACAGGCTCCACGCTCGAGCTTTGGTTTTGACGCTCGAGCGTTGAATTACACCATCCAGTACTTTTTCAAGCGACTGCAGAGATGCTGAGAGCTTCCAATCCCCGCTCAAGCGTCCCTTTCCCCGCTCGAGCGGGAAGGCCAAAACTGGAAAAACTGGAAAAATATAACATGATCGGACATGCAACTTTGAATGCATTTATCATCACAAACTTCTCTGAAAGGCACAATTCGGGTTGGATTCGCATCTAAACACTCATAGCCTCACTGAAATAAATGTGCGAAAATAAATACAACTGAAAGAAGTTTCGTCAAATGGGATTGCCAAGAAATAAAACCTAACAAAATTGTAATTAAAATTTTCATGTGGTTCTAAAAATTATGCTAATCCTATTGACCTAATCAATTTCAGTTTCGAGTGCCATTAAGGCCTTCAATTTCCATAGTAAAGTAGAATTCTCAACAAATAATCCTACGATAACAGACATAAATCCAAATATCATGCATAACACACAATTAACAGATAATTTCATCTTAAACATTTACAGAATGAGGATATTATAATCCAAATATCATTCATAATTACTGATTATTAGCATATTACGGAATGAGGATATTATAATCTCCTTGGAAAGCCTTACAGTTGAACGGTTTGAATCATTAAGATGGGCCCAAAATAAGTCTACAGTGAGCCAGACTGCATCATCCAATTGGATATCCCAATTGGAGATAATGCGGTCCCTCATATATTATGGGGGTGTTTGGGAAGAAAAAAAATAGCCAAATTTAAGCTAAAAATCACAAAAAGACAAAATAGGCTAAAATAGCTAATAAGACAAAATATCACATCAAACCCATAATCATTTCACTTTTTCTCTCACAAACATCACATCCAACCACAAAAAAATCCAATCATCTTCCCAAACACAAAAATTTTAGCCTACTTAAAATAGCCAAAAACTAAAATAGCCTACTAAAATAGTCACTTCCCAAACGAGGCCTATATTTACCATTTGTTTGGAGGAGGAGAAAAAAAAAATTTATTTTACTTTGTCCTAATCACTCGTTTGAATTACTCATTACAATATATAAGAGTTTTAGAAATCGAACTTCTTCTTAATGATGTTTCATTTATTTATTGGGTTCCATTTTACTTTTTAACATTCATACTTGATTTGTAATAACAATTTGTAAAAAAGAAAAGTCTACAAATCATAGAAAAATGAGCAAAAAAGAGTTATTGTGAAAAGAGGCGTATGGTTTGTGGATGTATTGTTTGGTGTTCAAGTATCAAATGAATTTGAGTCATATATTAATAATTTTGAATAAAATTTTTAAATTTATAATATTTATATTATTATATTAAGTGAAGGCTGAATTTGATGTTCAAGTCTTTACTTACTTCTCCTTATACTATGCGTCCCTCATTTTTCTTTGGGGAAATATCACATCAGTGGGGTGTGGACAAAATAATTACAAATTAATGAAAACTTCATAAATATTAATAATTAAATTTGTAAACTTTTCCATGAGTTTGTATTTTTCCCGCCTTATTTCTATTTAAAATATAAAAAAAAAGATAAATAGGAGGAGCTGTACTTGAACCTTGAATTTTTTTTTAAAAGACTTTTACTAATCAAGTAACATACAACATATAATACATATTTTATTTTATTTCTACTTAATCGAATTGCATACATATCACCTTTGACAACCACTAGTTATTATTGTAAAAAGTTGGTTTGTATAATATTTTCTCCCTCAATTGTATCACAATGAGATGATAGATTATCCATCAACTTTTAATCTATAACAAATTTAACTACGTGAGGGTTGTTGGGTACAAATTTTTATAAGTTAAAAATTAATAATAAAAAAGTAAAAATCAAAACATACCTTCGCATAATTTTTTTTTTTATATAAAAAAATTGAACATGAAAAAAAAATGCACTACTAGAAAAGGAGGCTTTTGACACGGAATTTTTTGCAACGGTTTCAAAATTGTCGCAAAAAGCAATCTTTTGGTTTGGAATGGCAAAAAAAACTGTCTTGAAATTATCTTTTTTGCGACGACATTTGACTGTCGCAAAAAAGGCACCGACTAAATACCACTATTTGAGATGGAAAATCCAAGACCGTGGCAAAAAGTAATATTATACACGACGGTATGTTACCCGTCTTTTTTTTTTTTTTGCGATGCTCGTTGTTAGTCCGTCGCAAAAAAAATTATTTTTACAAAAAAAAAAATGATGTAAAACGAAGGGTTGAGATCACTTGAAGAAGATGAATGCCTTACCATTTTGGTGAGGTAATTCAAAATAATAATAATAAAACAATAATGTCTATTCTCTTGGTTACATATTTCAAGAGAGAGAGAGAGAGAGAAGACGAAGAGTTGAGGAGTCGCTATCCTCGCTGCCCTGTCCCCTGCACGTCCGCCGCTACCGCCGAGGAGTGGTTGAGTTCGGATTCAAGAAGTTGGTATTCATTCAACATATTCAATAGGTTCATGCTCCAAACTTAAAATATTAGGGTTTTTAATTCAAAAATTAGGATTTTCTATGCTTTGATTTGAGGCTTTTTACTTGATTTATTTCAAATCTATTATTGGGTTAAAAATTAGGGTTTTGATTTTGGGGTTTTTGCATGATATTGAGAGCTCTCTCACATGTCTCTTGTTATTGAAACTAGGGTTTTGTTTGAAGGATTTCAATTGAACCAATAAATAAATAATAATTTGATTTGGGAATTCCAATTGAAAAAAGGGCTTTGATTTTAGGGTGGAGTTAATACTGCTATTGATGGATTCTTATCCAATTAGATTTTATTAATGTCATTTATATAACCATGAATTGTTTAGTTGATAGTGACAGTAGCAGAGGTAATCTTGATGATGTGGGTGACGATATTTTTGAACACTACTTAATGAACTTATCCTGATCTTCTCTGTTTCTTTTTAATTTTTCCAAATGTTCATCCCTCTCTTTTTAATAAATTATTCAAGGATCTTTCTTCTTCTTCTTTTTGGCTGGCGTTTATGTCTTTTCCTTGTCATTAGCAGTTGGTATCTTTACTATTTTGGCACTTAATATGTGCCTAGGTTTTTCCAGATTTGCATGCAAAGGATACTATATTTGTTCTTATTTGTGCTTCTATATTGGAATGAATTGTACATAATTTATTATATCTGTAGACACAGCCCTTTTAATTTTATTTCTATCTCATTCACATGCCCTCTTTGTAAGGCAGAATTGGTTATTGGAGACACAAGATTTTGATGTTGACCTGTTTCCCAATCTTTCTTTTCCACCTACGTCACAGATATGAAATTCTACTCCATAACTAATAAGCAATGAATGACCAGTTATTGTTTTATTGTTCACAGCATTGACCCTCAACACTTGGAAAAAGTAGAAATAATGTGGTGATTTGGAATTTTAGTTTTAGTTTATAAAGTGTTAATGGGGAATGGATGAAAAAAGTTTTTTCATTTTTTTTTTTATAGTTCATAACACACCTGACTGTACAATGAGTAGTTTTTCCTACTGATTGAACTTTCTTGAGTGTTACAATTATTAAGGCATCTCTGTTAATTAAGTGAGTATTTTTAGTAGCTAAATCATGTGACTTAAGTTAGTTACATTTGTAGTGGCACTTTGTGCAAGACAACCAGTAGTTTTGGAATGATCTTTATAATTTGAGGAGCCATCTTCTTAGAAGTTTCTGATGACACTGCATATTCCATTTGGTGATTGATGTTGCAAGATTACTTAACATTTAGAAGTTCAATAAGTTTTGATTATTCAGAGTGTTACTCTATTTTCTTTTTCCATATTATTCAGTAATTCTCATTAGTTTGCTGATGTTATTTGCTATGTTCTTGGAATCATGATTGGTACTGCTATAATAAAGATGTAGAGAAAAGAACTAAAGTTTAAAAAGAAGCAAGTAAAACATGTAAAGAAGTTGCTAAGTTTGAAATATGTCGTAATGATATACTACAACAAGAACTATGTTGCTTAAGGCATGATTTTGTTCAATTTTCACATTGCCTGGATGTACTAAATAACCGTTTCTCACATCGAGGTGAAGGTAGTGATGACCTAGAAAAGGTTGGTTTCTCTCTCTCTCTCTAATTGTTTAAACTATCTGAACATGCTTAACTTGAATTACATGTTTGTTGGTTATTTGATAAGTACGATGGCATTTACTTATCAATAATAGTCTATACCATACAGGTTTCTAGTGTTCGTCATTGGACTATATTTTGGTTGAGTTTACTCAGAAGCAACTTAACTGAAGTACATAGGTATTTGAGTGATGGCTGTTTGGGTTATTAATCTAATGGGTGAGTAATCCAATTAGAGCTTATGTGTCTATAATTCATCGCGGACTTGCTTGTATATATGTATTTTATTAAATGTATTAAGAGATAGTTGTTTGGTTGAAGATTATAAATAATGCTATTCATAAGTAGTTGTTGTCAGTCAATTTGTGCAGCCTAAGACTATATAGTTTCAAATTTAAATACTTATGTGTTGAGTACTTGTTCATCCTATTTTCTATTTTCTTTGCAAGTGATTTGTTTTCGATATCTTATGCTTTTTTCCCCCCTTCTTGAACCAGAGCATACACAAGTTTTTCCTCCATGCTTTGTTGTTGTGTTGCTACGAGAGCTTGCAAGAGTAACTATACCACCTGAAAGAATCTATGGTTTGGGAACTAGGTGAGAACATTTTTAAGTATATATATATATATATATTGTGTGTTATTACAAATGAAAATTACTCTGGTTGGTCTTTTAAGCACCCCTCTCAAATTTCAGATAATCAAATTATTTAAACTATTCTTATTTATATCACCAAACAATCTAACACAATCTCTTTTTTCTTTTTGATTTTTTATGCTTATTTGTTTTCCTATATGTTTTTGATGAGAACAAACAATGAGTCGGAGTTTTCTTTGATCATCGCCACACTCTGGATAACCAGTCAATCGCTTCGATTGTCTTTTTGAAAATCCGAGCATTTCGAGGTACCCATTCCATTATGATTTCTCTTCACTATTTCTTTGATTTCGATACTCATATATACATAGTATATTCATATATATCTGTAAAATTGATTCAATCATTCTTTTCTCTTTTTAATAATGAATTAGAAATGCTTACTAATCAGGTCCATAAAACTCTAATGATATGTTTAATTATTCACTATTCATACTTCAAGTCTCCATTTCAATAGCCAAGTTATCAATGCAAGAAGGGGGAAAAAAGTTAAGTTGATGTCAATGTCATGTAGAAACATTGAAAATATGTTATTTTTTTGTTCCACAAAGTCTTGTGAGAATAAACCCTCAACAAAATAGCACCTGCATCAAACAGTGTGTCATCTTCAACCCTGCTAGGCTGCTACTTGTCACCTATCTTGTGTTAATGCAAACCCTGATCTCTGTTAGGCTCTCCAAGAACCTATTACATTAGAATCAAACATTAGCACAGTTAACCCTTTTCTAGCTGTAAATGATTAGTTTTTTTTCTTTTTTTCTTTTTGTAGATGCAACCCTTTTGAGTACATGATGATATCTTTGCATATCGATATTGGAGTTTACAATCTTATTTATTTATTTATTGAAATAAATATAAAATGTTTTGCATTTTCTGTAAGCTTAAAATTAATTATATTATAATTTTTTTTTATTTTTTATTTTTGTTTCTTTTTGCAGATGCAACCATGTTGAGTACATGATGATATCTTCGCATATCGATATTGGAGTTTACTATTTATATCAAAACAAGTTATATAATGCATATGTTTTTTTATTTATTTATTTGTATTGTCGATACTTTTGTTTTGTTTTAGATACAAAAATTTGAGTTATTGAATATCAAAAATTATTAGGATTGTTAGAGGATGTTTTATATTTTTTTGTAAAGAATATTAGGTTGACAATTGTTACAAGGTACAAATATATATTATTCTTGGTATGATTTTGTGAATGTAAATGTGAATGTGAATATGAATGTGGGTGTGGATGTGGATGTATTTTATTTTAAAAAATATTAATAATTTGTACAAGGAATGAATTAATAAAATATATATTGATTTTATGAAAATAATTTTATTGCGACAATAATAAACCGTTGCTAATGTAATTATCATTTCTTTACATTTTGCATATGCATATTAGTTCAAATTTTTAGCGACGGCGTAAACTGTCGCAAATATGATATTAATTTAATTTTACTTTTTTTGCGACGTTTTAGACCGTCGCTAATAATACTTTTTGAGACGTCGAATACCGTCACTAAAAAAGTTTTGGCGACGGCAACTAATATCGTCACTGAAAGTGAAGTTTTTTCTATTTTTTTTGTATCAGGTTAAACCGTCGCAAAAACTATTGATTAACTGTCGCTACAAGAAAGTGACGGGTTGTAACCGTTGCAAATACTTTTTGCCACGCCCCCTTCCGCCACCTCCCATTTCCCGCCGCTACTCCGTCTTAAAAAGCCTTTTGCGACTATATGTGAACCTTTTGTGACGTTTAAGACCGTTGCAAAAGTTCTGATTTTTAGTAGTGATGTATAAATTGATTTCTTTATTTTTTCCCCTTGGAAAAAATAAAATAAATTGTTAGTTATCGTTTCTGATACTCTGTATAACATAGACAAATGAAGTAGGCAGGTGAGTAATTCCAATAGCCGGAACTGATGTCTGTGTCTACGAAATTTGATCCGCTGCCCTCTTCTTTTAGAATTTTTTTTTTTTATTATGTCATCTCTGTCATTTTTATTTGGATAAAGGGGGAAAAAATTTAAGAAAAGCACTTAATAAAGGAAAAAACTTACATTAGTTAATAATATAATTAAGTTCATAGGCATGGATTGATCAAAATGTCCAGAATTTAAACACACCAACTTTCTAATTCACTTCGTGTCTCATGAAAATGTCACGATTTTTGCTTAGGCTTCTTCAAATGAAGGTCAAGGACACTTGTTAAACCTGATGTAGTGATCAAAGATGCCTTCAATAAGTTCAATGCGGGAAAGTCTATAGTACATTTTATTTAAAAAATGTATGGTACATCGAAAATCAATGGCTCAGATTGAACCACATCATTAAAAGTGACCTGGTAAGCAGGTCACTTTTTATAGTTATGAGCTAAAATCATATTTGTTCATAACTATAATCAAATTAATCATAACTTAGTTATGAGCTCTCATCACTTATCTCATAACCATATCTCATAACCAGCACCATTTTGTTGATAACCAATATCATATATTTCATAACTACAATCACATATCTCATGATATAAAATCATATAAGTTCATAACTAAATGTATGGTACTCCAAAATGTACCATAGCATCACCCGTTCAATGCCGACATCATGAAAAAAAAATTAAATACTATAATAATTAATAATTAATCAAAGCGAAATGAAATCCCATCATATTTATTAGCAAATATAACAACATCATACCTCTTGCTTGTTGATTTTAATCACATGCTCCTCCATATCATCAATAGAAACATCTAAATCCTTCAGATAAGAGATGCTCGAAGTGATACCGGCAGATGGCAACACCACCAAACCGTCAGATACTAGGAATAATCCCGGCCTTTTCACAAATTCTTCAAAACTTCTTTCCCATTTAGGGGACTTCGGGTCAATTAAGGTTATATCTGATAACCACCTATTATTGACACTAGGCCTTCTATATGTCAGCCACAAAACCTTGGTTGACAATTCACCGTCATGATAATAAAAATTTGGAATTCTTTCTTGTAGTTGAAATGGCTGGCTGGAGCACTTGAATTTCGAAACAAGCCCAACATCGAGTTGTAGGTGGTTTGAGCATTGATCAGAGTCACTCCATGGCACTCTATGTGTCGCGAACCACTTGTTGTTCAAACTTTTTATGCTGCTAAACAAGTTACCTACACATCCCAACGAAGAATCTCCATCCAAACATCCAACTACATTTGCTAGGGGAATTGTGAGGAAGCTTAAGAGAAGATCAACGAAATCTTCCATGGCCTCGGCGTACATTGCCTTCCCATCAGATTTTCTTACCATAATCTTCACTGCCATACTTTCACCGGTGGCCGTTCCTGGTATGTTTTGTGATAGGAATTGATGATCCCTTGGCTCGAGCAATTTACTCCTTTTGGAGTTGAATCTTTTGTTAGTCAAAAATACATCCGTCAAAGGTGAACACTACGCCAAAACAGGGCATTAACGGCGGTTTTTTTAATGGCGGTTTTCATTATCGCCGTTAAAGATACTATTAACGGCGGTAACGAAACCGCCGTTAATACCGCCGTCAGAAAGCAAAGAGTGCTCGAGCAGATTCAAAATGTAAAAACAATATGTACATAGTAATTAGGACACATTATTCTGAATACCAAAGAACTATAATTTGTTTTGGAACATCAGAGGCCATAACAAATAATTGCTAGGCAGCGAGCATAGATGTAATATTTTGTATCCTAAATCTAGAATGAATAGGTGGTGCCCTTTTTGAAATTATGAATCACAATGAAAAAATGTTTTGTTTTGAAATGAATGAACTACCAAATGCCAAATCATCTTTAAAGATATTTTTGATTACCAAATATGATTTTTGTGGCAATATTGGATGGGAATCATATAAACCATGGCCTCATGTATATATGATGTTTATGTTTGATGAGGGTAAGATATAGCATAGGATAAAGGGAAGAGAATTATATATAAATGTTGGATGAAAAATGGGATGTTTTCCCACGAGTGGTATTGCACTAGTTTGCTTTTAATTCTGTCAATCAAATATGCCCTACTAGAATCTTGGTTAACTTCTCCATTGTTATGGAAAGCAAATTTGAATTTAATTTTATAACGCGTTATCATAAACTAAGGGTTATAGATATTATAGTTCTACATGCACAAAAATAGATCACAAAACAATCACAGTATTGAACATACCTCCTTTGAGCCAACCTTCAGGACCCTTTCATTGAGACTATTTACATCTTCGATGCCAACATTGCCAAGCAATTCAACTAGAGCTCCAGTTCTGCTGACCATTACTTGAAGATTGTCACTAACAATATAAGCTGTGGATCGCTTGACAAATATTCCATCTGTTTTTTTTTCCATTGAATCGGCACTGAATTCAGAACCCACTACTGAAATCTCTGTGCTCATCAACTCCAAACATCTACTACATCTTGCGTTCGCATAATTACTCAAAAATCCAGAGCGGTACCTTTGAATGCATACATCAGAACATATAAAGTACCTGAGAGGCTTTGTATCATTGACATTCACTTTCAAGCCCCTGCAAAAGGGTTTGAGTGGACTTCTCGGATGAAGCAGCATATCTTTGCAAGCATCAGTCCACAAACTGGTTATACTGAGATTTTCTATGCTTCCATACAAGTTGTTGATGCAGCCAAGCTCTGCTTGCTGGTTGCAGATGAGTCGGACAATGGTGCCTATCGGTTAGGTCAAGAAACTGAAGAGAATGTCGACGAAATCATTACCAGCTTCCGCACAAACTACTCTGTTGTTCTCTTCATCTATCAGAATTCTCACAGACACTTCAGCAGTTTGGTTGGAAGCCATGGCCTTCACAACAAATCACAATGGGTTGGTTTTGTTCTGTCAAGGTCCGACCACACAGTAACGATTTAGTTTGTTAGCCAAATCTATAATTCAAACATAATCTTACAAAAATAAACATATTTTCATTGATTGTCTGAAATTTCTAGATTTTTTTAAACACTTTTTTATTTTATTTTATTTTATTTTTTTAAAGTGACTATCAATATTATTAATATGGGAAAGACTATGGTACACCCTCTCAAAGGATGTGTACCATATGCACCTTCTAACTACACAACAAAATAATATAATTTTATAATTTCTGAGCATAACTAAACACAGAAAATCATAAACAAATATTTCAAAATAATAATGTAACTAAACGTGTCTGTGGTATGAGATGTGTATAATAGAATTTTCCTATCAATATTAGGATAAATTACAAATACACTCCTGAGATTTGCTTAAAATACAGATTGCCCTCTGTGGTTTGAAAAATAACAAACACCCGTTGTTAAAAAAATTTATTTGACAGAATTAACTAAAAAAAAAAAATTCATAATTGCTCTCTTATATAATAATAAAATTACTTAAATTATTAATTGAAACATATTTCTAACATCGTTAAAAACTGTTAATTGATTTGCTGATTTATTAATAAAAAGGGTGATTTGTTATGAAATTAGAAATCTCAGGAGATGAAATGTAATTTTCAGAACTACAGGAGCGATTTGTATTTTAATCAAATTTTAGGGAATGTATTTGTGATTTACCCTTAATATTATTTTATCCTCCACTTAATACTACTGTACTCATAAACAAATAAACCTTAGTACTGTTGCAGAATAAATATCAAGTCATCTAGAAAATCACACTAAAATCTCTCCACAAAAAATCATATTTTAGAGGATATGAATTTATAAATTAACTCAAACAATGAAAAGTATAAAATAAATTAAGACAGACAAAAAATAAATAAATAAATAAAATAAAAGAGCATTTATTCACTAATATAAATATATTTAGGATAAATTACACTAATCACTTCAGAGATTTAGATAAAATACAATAAATCCTATAACTTTAGTATAATTTTTTTTTTGAACAACATAACTTTAGTATAATTATACTAATCTCCCTTTCAGAAAGATTAAAGTGACTAAAACTAAATGTAAATACATAAATCAACAAGTTAATATATATATATATATACATTTCAGTATAAAAAAAATAACAAAATTATTTATTTATTTATATAACTAATGAGTTACTTATGAAAAGGACTAACTATGTGAATTTAAACCTTAGCACTTGGATTATATAGACTTGACTTACTTTTTCGCTTCTTTTTTTCACTTTCTATCCAAATTTATAATTCAAACACTGTAAAACTCAAAGCTTTTTTTTTTTTAATTTTATTTATGAATTTGGGTAAAAATTTGAAAAAGAAATGAAAAAAAAAAAAATAGTCACATATATTTTCCTTTTCTTTTCTAACCTAAATCGCTACTCAAATTAATAAATCAAACATAGCATAAAAATAATTATGCTAAACTTGCAGACCTAAATGGTAGTTAGTGTATGTGGGGATATATTTTTGAGTGCCAACACGTGGCAAGGTGACGCCGACGTGTCAGCCGAGGTGTCACGTGTCCTGGTCGTTATGCCGAGGTCATCTCGGTTAGGCCGAGGTTATCTCCGAAGATATCAGAATCCGAGATAAGCGGATAAGGGAAAAGGGACAAGAGTTCTAAAATAAAGAGGAGACTTAGCCAAGATAAGGAATAAAACTCTTAGAGAGTTTATCTTTATCTCTTGAGGAGTCCAAAGTAAGTACTGAACATGAATCCATAGAAGTCAGGCTTCTATTGGGATTAGGATTGAGTTTGCTATAAAAGAGAGGCACCCCCATGGGTCTAAGGTACGCAACTTTTATTCTGTCTAGTGAGATTAGCATTATTGATTATCTTTGAGAGATATGCTGACTTGATCGTCGGAGTGCCCCCGGGTAGACGAACCACCGCCAGAATCTTCTCTTTCTGTTACAGGTTAGCCCAAGTGTCATCTATTCTGCCAGTGTTCTCCAGCTGAATACTGAATCAGGCAGTGTGATAGGAAAATCACTCACATAGTGTAATTTTACAAAAATATAAAAAAGAAAGTAGTCACCTTCGTGGCCAGACTGTGTATAGAGCCGAAATTGCAGAATCTACTTTTTTACTGACGAATTCGCACTAAACAATTTTTGGTAATCACAGATCTAGCGAGATCTGTGGTGCAGAGAAGCAGAACCTACCAGGAAGGAGCTATATTGAGTGAGAAAGAGAAGGGAGGCTTTAGCCCTGTTTGGTACAGCTTTTTTTCAGCTTATTTCAGCTTTCAGCTTAATTTAAGTTATTTTGATGTGTTTGGTTTAACTTAAGCTTATAGCTTATAGCTTATAGCTTTTTGTAAGTCAGAAATCAGCTTATTCTTTGAGTGGGGCAGGAGAAGCTTAATTTATAAGTTAGAAATCAGCTTATGTTCATAGTTATAAGTTATAAGCTGTTAAGGTATAAGCTATAAGCATTTTTCCATAGCTCTACCAAACAGGGCCTTTATAGTAAAGGTTGAAAACATGGCTACTTTTCATTAGGAAAATTGTATATTAGTGGAATAGTGGAAAAAACAGGACATCTTGGTGATCTCTGTAAGGAGCGCTACTTTGAACCTGCGAGAGGGTAGGGAGGATTTTCCTGTAACAAAAAAAAAAAAAGAAATAGTGGAAAAAAAAAATATACATTTCTATGATGTTGGAATTATTTATTTATTTGGTATAGGATGTAAATTTATTCTTGTATTTGTCTTGTATTTGGTGCAACATGACTTGTGTGTCAAAGTTGCACGTAAAAAAAAAAATTTCTTCAATGTCTTTGGTTTTAATTTTTTAAATTTAATTTTTTATTTTTCGTGTTTTTTTATTTTTAGTAAATATTTTTTAAATTTTAATCATTTTTTTTTCTTTTTTGGATGCACCTTATTTAGATATATCTAAATAATAAAATATTTGTGAAAAAATATTTTAAAAAATTAATAAATACATAAAATTTGTAAATGTACTGAATTTTCATATTTTTTTTTTATATTTTTGGCATTTAATGATTTTTTTTTTAAAAAAAATCACAAATATTATACTTTTTTAAGTGTATTTATGTTAGGTGTGTTTAAAAATTAAAAAAATTCTTAAAATATTAAAAAATTCAGTCAAAATAAAAAAAATACAGAACATAAAAAAGTAAAATTTTTATAAAAGTAAATTCTGGAAATGAAAACCAAACAAAATGATTTGTAGTTTATTTTTTTTTTATTTTTTTTTTTTCAATGCTCAATGGATTTGCAATTTTTCCATTTTATTTCTTTTTTGGGTGGGTGTTCCCTCCTTTTTATTTCGTCGTACCAAAAAAAAAAAAAAAAAAAAAAAAAAAAAGGACTAGTCTGCTTTTTATCGTGTGTATACGTGAGATTCATTCCTTAACCCTTAAGGCTGGAAAATAAGGTCTTAGTCAAGTCTACGCATTTTAATTTGAAAAATGTTTAAGGCTAATATATATATATATAGATATATATATTTATAATTATACTAATAATGATGTGAAATTATATCAACTTTTACTTTCTTATACACTCTCAATGGCATGAGACTTAACTTCCTTAATATATTATTGTAAGTTGTAATATGAATTTAAAAATGTAGGTATGTAGTATTTGCTCTTTTGAATTTTTTTGATCAATACGTGAGACCCATATTTGTTGCTTGGTTTAGGAGAGAAAACATCTCAAATGTCATGTGTTAAACGGTGTAGAGCACTATTTTAAGGCTATCAAATAATCACTCTTCTAAAACTTGTTTTTGGTGGATTGCAATCACTTTATTTATATATTGGGATTAGATTCTTTTGAATTGGGATATTCAACTAAATGGTTCTGTTTGGCCTACTGTAAGTCTATTTTGAGCCTGTCACAATAATTTAAATTATTTTTTTTAAAGAACCGTTTAAAAAAATTATGCATACAAAAAATTAAGTTGATTACAAAAAATTAAGTTGATTACGCATCGAAAATCACTCATTTATCTGAAAAAAAATTTAATGGATCACCTTAAAAATTGTGCTGTCCGTTAATTAATTTTTAGACAAATATGTGGCTATCAAATAATCACTCTTCTAAAGCTTGTTTTTGGTGGATTGCAATCACTCTATTTATATATTGGGATTAGATTCTTTTCAATTGGGATATTCAATTGAATGGTTCTGTCTGGCCGTACTGTAAATCTATTTTGAGCCCGTCACAATAATTTAAATTATTTATTTTGTAGAACCGTTTAAAAAAATCATGCATAAAAAAAAATTAAGTTGATTAGACATCGAAAATCACTCATTTATCTATAAAAAAAAATAAATTAATGGACCGTTTTCAAAATTATGGTGTTCGTTAATTAATTTTTAGACAAATATGTTCCAATTGAATGGTTCCCAATGTTCAATTGACCTGATTTTTTTACGCATGATCTCTATCATGACCTAACCCCTGCCTCAAGGGATTGGTGAGGTAACCGGCTAATAATCCTAACAGACTCATAATAATAGAGGCTAGTAGAAGCAAATAAACAAAATGTATCGTTCAATGAGTTGTGCAGATATATATAAGACAGAAGAATTTTACAAATTTATAAACATATATCATTACATCAACATTACGTCATTCTCATAATGCAATCAATCAAAAGGGATTAAACCTTATATATAGAAACTTGTCCTTAAATTCAAACATCTTAACAAAAGAAAGCGAAGATTTAATCCTTGAACACAAAAGCCCTATAACACGGCGTATCTGGGACTTTTACGTGAGGCACAAAGGTTGACTGACAAAACAGAATCTAGACTAATGCATCTAAGCTTGATCAAGCACTTGGTCAACTACATACATAAATATAGAAGTGAGTTGGAGCCCAGTGAATAACAACAAAGTAAAGGGTTTATAAACGATGTCCTAATTACAAATTCAGAAATTAGAGTTTTAGATCATAATAGAATCAGATTCATAATCAAACTTATAATCAGTCATACGTGGTACATCTATTAGCTAACAGAGCAGATGGTCTTAAAAAACCTGTTCAGATCAGACAGATGATTATGCTTAATCCAGACAGATAACCATTAAGGTTTAACAGATAGTTCCATGATTGCAACCCAAAAAGATCTTTGATAACAGATAACAGATGTTAAGCATGCCGTGAATACATTTCAGAAAATGGACAATAATTCATTCATTCAGAAAATATCATTTCAGAAACAGAGTATAACTTATAAATCATAAAATACTTATAAATCAAACATATATTTATAGAGTTGTTACTCACAAATGGCTCCTCGAACAGATTGGACAGATAGCTATACGTGACCTACACAAACACATAACAGATTCTCATTAAAACACTCATTCCCAAATGATATTCACTTAATCCAATCCTCCTTAGCGTGTTTTTAACTCATTTCCTCATTATTGTTGTCTGAACAATGGCTTAAGAATGCTTATAATGGAATAAGGATGAAATTATGCACTTATAAATGTATTTCGAAAATGCTGAACACAGAGTAGTTTGCTCGAGCGCAACTTTAGTTGCTCGAGCGGTCTACAAAACTCTACAAAACTTTTGGATGATGAAAATCTAGGCTCAAATCAACTTTTTGATTGCTTGAGCCATGAGTTGTACAAAAGTGAGTTTGCTCGAGCACACACTTGGTCACTCAAGCCAACTACATACAACTGCAAAAATATTGAGAGCCTTGAAGGTGACGCCCCAAAATTTGGAGACATCATAATAAGGTTTAAAACTTAACATCAATTTTCTTAATTAAGAATTCTCATCAATGTTGCCACCAAATTTACCATCATCCATTAATTAACAACACCAAAACTAAAAGTTCTTAAATTACAACTCCAGTCAACTTAAAACTTTGTCTTAGTACACAAATTTAAAAAAAAAAACTAGAGAAAAACTAGAAAACTCAGAAAAATGGTTCATGGAACTTTGGCATGCTTCAAGCTAATCAGGGTTGAATGTTGTTTTCCAACACCTCGGTGTTTCTTTCGGTTTTTTCGGTACCTGGCATGAAACGCCAGGGCAACGAGGATGCCAATGAGCGACGAGCTCAATAAGATACTACAACCCGGAATACCCACCCCAATAATAATACTCACAATGAATAATGCGTAGTAACCGAATAACAGGTAGCATTTAATAAGCATAACAGGAATGTCATCAGTTGAAATAATAACAATAGATGATAAATAAATAAAAATGACAACAGAGGCAGTATTTCATCATAAGGAAAATGGCCACTTTTCTTTTTAAATTCTCATAGATTTAGTTTATCAAATAAGTTTAAGTAACTCCCCGCGGAGTACTATTTCCATTCAACCACTAAGCAATGGCCACGGGCAATTTTGACTCCCCCTTGATCAATTATTTAAATGTTACTTAATGTAACTACCAATGATGCCCACGTACCAGAATTACGTACCTGAGTCATGACATCACGGTTTGCCCCAAGGAAACGATCTATGTTGTGACACTCGCACCACCAACCTTACATCGCCTACACTGATAAGAGTCGAAATACCTTCCCATGCCATGTTAGGGTTCGTAACTCACTTGTGCAAGATTCCAAACCGGGCTCACCCCGTCACTTTTACATTTTAAATGTATCATTGGCTAAATTTCATGTCTCTTTACTCATTGAGATATTCACAATAATTCAAAATTTAATTACCAATAATGTTATACCAACTCATTAAAATCCAAACATAAAATATTACACATGTCACACAATAATAAACGGTTGTACAAAATTTAAATAAACAATTTATTTAAACTATGGTATGAAATAATAATGTAGATACCAAAAAGATATAAATCATAATCATACACATGCATGGATTTTTAATCTACAAAATTAGATTAGCACAATATTAAATTTTAGTCTAAAGAAACAATTGAAGAGATAATTTTTTGATTCCTCCTTAATCTGCCAAAATTTTCAGAATGTATATCTTGCAAATAAAATTATAAATAAATTACTTATACAACTCTAAAATTCATTTCAATCTGCAGAATACTCAATAAACATGTTATGGTCATTTTTCAGAAAGCATTTTCCAAAACTAAATTAT